CAAGGCTCTGTGTTGAAGACCGTACTGTGACCTATAATGGTTTACTTTTATAAATTTTGACTTGGATGGAGAGTTGTCTCATTGGCACTCATACCACATCTTCTTATATCTAATTAATCTACCATTTTCTACATAAGAAAATGTGTGTACCAAGTCAGGAATATGACAGTTATTATCCATTCGTTTGATGTGTTTAAGCTTTTGATTTTGCCATTTGATTAGGGACTTTCCGTTTTGAATTTTCTTCGGAGTTCGGTATCTTTGTGATTTTACTTTTTTCAATACGTTATATATGGACTTGTTTGATTATATTGAACCTCGGACTTCGTCATCGGTCAATATAATCTGAACCGGTCCAGATGTAACGTATTGACCTCGTCAAAAGTCTATAATTGATAAACATACAAAAGCACTAAATAATGTAAAAGAAAAGTTTTGAATAAAATACAGTGAATATCATGGAAAGTAACATTCAAAGTTTACACAATATACCTTGCCTGGTACTTGTAGCCTAGCGGTTTCAGATAACATTGGCGGGAAATGTCCCCAGCTTGAAATTTCAAAAATTGTTTTACGGTAAACTTAATTTTCTCATTGTCTGTGCGCTTTACAGGGGCTTGGTGATCACTACCGCGAATTTTAATGTAAGTAGTCGCCTGAACTTTCAGTATAATCTCAATGAAAATGGTTTAGGACAAACATAAAACTAAGGTGAAGTATCCCTGAAAATACTTATTTCGTGAATACCTAAAACAAAATTGAAGTATTTTTGTGACTCGTCTGTGGTGCCCGCATCTAAATATTTGGAAGTCTAAAGAATGACTAAGATGGAAAGCAATGAAAACCAAATATTCCATAAAGTTGTGCATGGAAGCAGAAAAAAAAAACATTTATTTAACAATAAATGTACAGAACATGTTTGATATTTAATGTCAGTGCAGGAGTGTACTGGGCTCGTAATACCTCGTGACGAAACGTCAATCAGGAAAATCCTTTGAACCAGCGGACGGAAAACAAAGCCACCGTTTTGACCTGATGTGACGTCAATAGAAGTTATGACATTAAAGTTATTTTTAATCCGTTTCTACACGGGAAAAATTTTTAACATGGACAACAGAACAACAGTATTACTTTTTTTTACAATCTATAAATGAAATTAAGTTGAAAGAGTTCCTCAGATTTTCGAAGAACTTAATAAGTTGTCAATTACATGTATTTACAAAGTTCTTAAATAAAATATATAAATCACTATTTAGAAGTAGAATAAGGTCGATATAATGTCAACTTTTAACATTTATATTTACGAATGAATAAAAACGATTACTCGGGATTATGTTTTACTCATATTGTATTTATGTATGGTGTAGTACTTCCTAATCCGTTGAGCTTTTTTCTTTTACGCAATAAAGAGATACGAGAATAAGTAAAAGCTCAGTCGATCTAGTATTTAGTATCAGAAAAATGTACATACCAAATATGATTGAAAAAATAATTTTAATTCCAAGATTCACATTTTAATAATAGGGTCCATGATATACCCATTTCTAGAATAAAAAATCAACTCCAAGTACTAGCAAAGCGGTTTGTCTTCGTACCGGCAGACAAAGCAGCCAATAATGTAGTGGTGGTGTGACGCTTATACTACACGGAAGTTCTCCAACACGAAATAATCAATTCGTCTACATTCAGGTCCGTACGCTCCACAGAGAGTCAAATTGTAAACAAGCATATCACTGCCACTACCCAGCTTAAAGCCTCTTCCGAACATTTGAAAGTCCCGACTATGTACTGGTTACCTAAATTACACATACAACCATTTAAATTCCGTTTCATCTTCGCATCTAGTAAGTGTTCTACTACTAATCTGTCAGTGCTTCTAACTACCTCCCTTTCAACTACCAAAGAACTTGTTATAATAATATATAGAACTTTTGTAATAAAGCTTATGAAAATAATGGTATTAATTATTTTTGGAGTGTAAAAAATTCTTTAGAAGTTTTAGATAAAACACGTGCGTTTGATGGTACTTTTAATTCTGTTGACAGTTATGATTTTTCTACTCTCTACACTACACTTCCACACAATCTTATTAAGAAAAAGTTTTCATATTTAATTAAATGGTCTTTTGAAAAATATCATTGCAAATTTATTTGCTGTAACTCGATTAAAGCCTTTTTCTGTTACGAAAAAGGAAAGTATCTTAGATACACTTACTGGAAATGGGAAGATATGATTGAAGCTTTAAATTTTCTCCTGGACAACATATTTGTACGTTTCGGCGATTAAGTGTATCGACAGGTAGTATGTATTCCTATGGGCACTTACTGCGCCCCTTTAATATCAGATTTATTCCTGTATTGCTATGAATTTCAGTTTATGACCAAACTCAGTAAGACACGTCATTGTTACATTTGGTTGATACATTCAACATTACCTACCGTTATCTTGATGATATTTTTTCGTTAAATAATTCAGAGTTCTCTAAATATACTACTGAAACTTATTTTAAATAAATCTAACATAAACAGCAGTAATTGTCCTTTTCTAGATTTAGACATTTCAATTTCTAAAGGGAAACTCAATACTAAAATTTATGACAAAAGAGATTATTTTTCATTCCCTATTGTTAATTTTCCTTTTTTTAGACGGCTATGTTCTTTTGGCTCCCATACGGTGTTTATATATCCCAACTCGTTCGTTATGCACGTGTGTTTAGTGATGTCATAGATTTTAACGAACGTAATCAATGCATCACTGGTAAATTTTTAAGTCGGGGATTTCGTTACTATAAATTACTTAAAACTTTTACTAAATTCTTTCTCAGATACAAATTTGTGATGAGTAAATTTGGCTGTACCTGTAGAAAACTTTACATCCTAAATTTTACGGTAATATTGTACTAAAAGCGCGGAAATCACTATGTGATCCGTGTAAACTCATCGAACCTTTAAAAAAACTTATCTTACCAATGTTGTAATTAGATCTTTGAATATAGTTTACATTGGCCCAAATATCGATTTTGTCATCAGCCAATTACAACATAACTAAATTTGTATTCTTTTCAAACGGGTTTTTGGGATGTATAAATACACATCCACGTTCATTTTCTATATAGAGATTACTCTATCTATATATAACATCATACATATTTATTAAAAGGTGAACTCCTAACTATCCTACTGTCTGTCGATACTTTTATTTTGGCATTGCACAAGTCATCTTTGACTGTCCATGACGTTAGAACACTAAATTCCTGTGTTTTAGTTGATTTTAGTCTCTGATGCATAATTGTTTATTATTAATTGTTTTTGGCTTTTAACAAGCTTTCAGTAACTGCGAGTACTCTCAAATCATACTTTCATGTTTTTTGACCTGTTGATACAATTTGTAATGTATTTTTATTTAATGTTTAATTATTTAGTGTTATATCTCGTTTCACTATTTTTAATATTTACCACCTTTGATGTTGTGTTTAGTATGACAAATTTTCACTTCTGTTCTCGTACTATGAACAACAAAATTATTCATTTTGTAACAAATATTTCCGTTCTCCATGTATATTACCCTGTGTACGTTATTTTATTTGGCGGCATTTTGTCCAAGGTTATGGTTGTCTTTCTGATATTGTTTTACATCTAACCCCCTTGATTAATTGTGTATTTACATTGTGTCATAGATCAAATTTATTCGTTCAGTGTATGTTCACTTGTTTTTGTTAATATGTCTTTTGATTGAGTTAAGCCATTGCAATTGATATTTTATAGTGTGTCTTTCTATGTTGTGATGTTACACTATTGTTTCAGGTAAGGGTGAAGGTTGGCGCCTATTAAACCGTTTAAACCCGCTGCATTTGTTTGCACCTGTCCTAAGTCTGGAACCTGATGTTCAGTAGTTGTCGTTTGTTGATGTGGTTGATAAGTGGTTCTCGTTTCTCGTTTTTTATATAGATTAGACCGTTGGTTTTCCTGTTTGAATGGTTTTACACTAGTCATTTTGGAGCCCTTTATAGCTTGCTGTTCGGTGTGAGCCAAGGCTCCGTGTTGAAGACCGTACTTTGTCCTATAATGGTTTACTTTTTACAAAGTGTGACTTGGATGGAGAGTAGTCTCATTGGCACTCATACCACATCTTCTTATATCTACATAGTCCAAGGTGAACGACACATGCCCTTTAGAGCCTCTAGTTTTTAATTCCCAATGAAAATATTTTAAAGGAAGTTACCATTGAAACGCAGTAATATGTTACTCTCATGATTACTTTATTAATGCGTATTCTATAACCGTTACGCTAATATCTCAAATTTGCTGTAAACGACTTATTTTCTAGAGGGATTTATTTTCCGCGAGTAGAAAATCAACGTTAATATGTAAAACTTGGATCTGATTGTATAGGAACAAGTACATTAGACAACGGCGACATCATATATTTCGCGAAATAGGGTAGAAAAGGTTAAACGCGACAAAAAGTAGTCGAGAAATATTTGTTTTTCTCAGTTTTTCAATAGTTGTATAATATATGTTTACTCTCATCGTTACTTTTCTTCCATAACGATATGAGTCATCACATAACTGAACCATGTTGAACATGAACCAAACCATGACTCTTTTTAACCAAACCATGACCCTGAATTGTCAGTTATCGGTAATTATGTGCAAAAGAAGCGTTTTTTTCGGAAAAAAATGACGGCAATTGCATATTGTAAAGAAATATGTGAAGTAGCAGACAATAAATAAATCTTCTTTTTATGGTTGGTAAACGAGTAAGCAGCTTTTTAAATTTTGAAATACGCAAGCATTATTCTGTGTCAAATAATGAAATATACGATACAAATCGAATTTACTAACATATCAGCAATAAACAAAGAAATTTACCAGCGTGAATTCATGTTCAGATGTCCAACTTAACCAAACTATGAAAAAGTCACTTTACTTAACGCTCCTCGATATGATGACCTTACTACCCGTGTATCCTATAATCACTGATACTTATTTAACACTTACATCAGTTATATTACTCCATGCTGTATTGAAACCAACAGTGGCCATTATGTTATTATCATGATGAGCTAATATATTTCTGTACCATTTAATCCTTGCTAGATCAGCTTCTGGAGTTGTTTCCACTGATGGAGGTAGACTGTTAAATCCATTGATTGGCTGAGCAACAGATGTCAAGTTTCTGATCAAACAGATCATCAATGTTACATCAAAAGTTGTGGAATCAGGAACACCTATAAAAATCAAAAGTATAATAATCAAGTTCACCTGTAACATTAAAAGTATAATAATTAGTAGACCTGTAACTTCTAAAGTATTAGAATCAGGCACACCTGTTAGATCAAAAGTATTAGAATAGGGTACACCTGTAAATTCAAAAGTATAACAATTAAGTTTTAATTTAACATCAAAAGTATTGGAATCAAGTTCGCCGGTAACATAAAACGTTTTAAAATAAGTACCACCTGTAAAATAAAGGTATTAGGGTAGGTCCACCTGTAAGTTCAAAAGTACTAGAATCATGTACACCTTTAATATGAAAAGCTGTAGAATCAGGTACACCTTTAACATTAAAAGTATAAGAATAAGGTACATCTATAACCTCAAAAATATCAAAATTAATTACACATGTAACATCAAAAGTATGTATATCAGGTACACCTGTAACATCAACAATATTAAAATCAGGAACACCTGTAATATCAAAAGGTGTAGAATCAGGTAAACCTTTAACATCAAAAGTATTAGAATCAGGTACACATGTAATATAAAAAGCTGTAGAATCAGGTAAACCTTTAACATCACAAGTATTATAAGCAGGTACACCTGTAATATCAAAAGCTGTACAATTAGGTACACCTGTAAAATCAAAAGTATTAAAATCTGGAACCTGAATCCTGTAATATCCCAATTATTAGAATCATATACACCTGTAATATCAAAAGTATAAAAATCAGATACATCTCTAAAACCAAAAGTATTGAAATCATGCACACCTGTTATATCAGAAGTTGTGGAATCAGGTACACCTAAAACATCAAAAGTTGTCGAATCACGTACAACTGTAAAAAAAGAACACAATTATTTTAATCAGATATATCTCACCTGCAATATCAAAAGCTGTAGAATCAGGTACACCAGTAACATCAAAAATTTTAGAACTAGTTCACCTTAACAAAAAATTTAGAAACGGGAACATCTGTTTCATCAAGAGTATTAGAATCAAGTTCACCTGTAACATCAAAATATATTAATCAGGTACACCTTTATATCAAAAGTATAAGAATCAGGTACATCTATTACAGCAAAAGTATAAGAATCAGTTACACTTGTAACATCAAAGTTATTAGAATCAAGGACACCTGCAACATCAAAAGTATTAGAATAAGTTACACCTGAAACATCAAAGGTATCTGAATCAGGTACACCTGTAGAATCAAAAGTATTATAAAAATGTATACCTTTCATATCAGAAGCTGTGGAATCAGGTACACCTGTAACATGAAAAAATTTAGAAACAGCTACACCTGTCACAAAAGCATCAGAAACAATTACACCTGTAACATTAATAGTATTAGAATCAATTTCACCTGTAACATCAAAAGTATTAGACTCAGGTTCACTTTTTCATAAAATATTATAGAATCAGGCACACCTGTAACTAAACAAAAGCATTAGAAACAAGTACACCTCTAACATTTATAGTATTAAAGTCATGTTCACCAGTAACATCAAAAATATAAGAGTCAGGCACACCTGTGATAGCAAAAGTATTAGAATCAGGTACACCTGTAACATCAAAAATATTAGAAACAGGTTCACCTGTAACATCAAAAGTATTAGAATCAGGTACACAAGTATCATGAAGGTATTAGAAGCATGTACACCTGCAATATCACAATTATTAGAATCAGGTACACCTAAAACATCAAAGGTATTTGAATCACGTTAATCTGTAATATCAAAAGTATTAAAATCAGGTACACCTGTAACATCAACAGTATAAGAATCAGGAACACCTTTATATCAAAAGTTTTAGAATCAAGTTCACCTGTAACATCAAAAGTATTTAAAATTAGGTATAATATCAAAAGAATTGGAATCAAGTACATCTATAACATCAAAAGTATCAGAATCGGGTACACCTGTAAAGCCACAAGTATTATAATTAGGTAAATCTTTAATATCAAAGATGTAGAATCAAGTACAAGCGTAACACCAAAAGTATTAGAATCATATACATCTGTAAAACCACAAGTATTAGAATCAGGTACACCTCATCTGTAAAAGCTGTAGAATGAGGTACAACTGTATCATTAAAAGTATGAGAATCAGATACACCTGTAAAACCAAAAGTATTATAATCATGTACACCTGTCATACCATAAGCTGCGGAATCCGGTACAACTGTATTAGAGTCATGTACAATTGTAACATCAAATGTATTAGAAGCAGGTACACCTGCAACATCAAAAATATTAGACAGGTAAACATGTAACATCAAAAGTATTAAAATCAAGTACACCTATAACATCAAATTTCAGAATTAATTGCACCTGTAACATCAAAAGTATTAGAATCTGGTATACCAGTAACAAAAGTTTTAGAATCAGGTACACATGTAACATCAAAATTATTAGTCATATACACCTGTTACCTCAAAAGTAGTAGAATCAGGAACACCTGGAGCATCAAAAGTATTATAATCATATATACCTGCCATATCAGAAGCTGTGGACTCACGTACAACTGTAACTTCAAAAAATTTAGAATCAGATACACCTGTAAAAAAGAGTATTAGAAACAAGAAGCCTGTAACATAAATAGTATAAGACTCAGGTACACCTTTATATCAAAAGTATTAGAATCAGGCTCACCTGTAACTTCAAAAGTATAAGACTCATGTACACCAGTAACATCAAAAGTGTTAGAGTCAGATACACCTGTTATAGCAAAAGAATTAGAATCAGGTACACCTGTAACATAAAAAAAAATAGATTCAGGTTCACTTGTATCATCAAAAGTATAAGAATCAGGTACACCTGTAACATCAAAAAAATAGATTCAGGTTCACTTGTATCATCAAAAGTATAAGAATCAGGTACATCTGTATCATCAAAAGTATTAGATGCAGGTACACCTGCAACATCAAAAGTATTAAAATCAGGTACTCCTCAAACATCAAAGGTATTTGAATCACGTAAATCTGTAACATCAAAAGTATTAAAATCAGGTTAATCTGTAATATCAAAAGATAAAGATTTAATTGCACCTCTAACATCAAAAGTATTAAAATCAGGTACACCTGTACTATCAAAAGCTGTTAAATCAAGTACACCTGTAACATCATAAGTATTACATACAGATCCACCTGTAACATCAAAAGCTGTTAAATCAAGTACAACTTCACATCAAAACTTTAAAAATCATGCACTTCTGTAACCTCAAAAGTATAAGAATCAGGAACACCTTTACATCATAAGTTTGAGAATCAGGTTCAGCTGTAACTTCAAAAGTATTAGAATCAGGTACACCTGCATATCACAAATATTATAATCAGGTTCACCTATAATATCAAAGGAATTTGAATCAAGTACATCTCTAACATCCAAACTATTAGAATCAGGTACACCTGAAAAACCACAAGTATTATAATCAGGTTAATCTGTAATATCAAAAGCTGTAGAATCAAGTACACCCGTAACATCAAAAGTTTGAGAATCATGTTCACCTGTAAAACCATAAGAATTAAAATCAGGTCCACCTCATTTGTAATATCAAAGCTGTAGAATGAGGCACACCTGTAACATCAAAAGTATTAATATCAGATACACTAGTAAAACCAAAAGTATTATAATCATGTACACCTGTCATATCAGAAGCTGTGAAATCAGGTTCATGTGTTACTCCAAAAGCTGTCAAATCAGATATGCCTGTAACACGAAAAGTGTTCGAATCAGGTACACCTGTAACATCAAAAGTATTAGAGTGATGTACGCTTGTAACATAAAAAGTATTAGAATCAGGTACACCTGAAACATCAAAGGTATCTGAATCAGGTAAACCTGTAACATCAAAAGTATTAAAATCAAGTACACCTGTAACATCAAAAGTTTTAGAAGTAACTTCACCTGTATCATCAAAAGTATTAGAAGCATGTACACTTGTAACATCAAAATTATTTAGTCATGTATACCTGTAATCTCAAAAGTATTAGAATGAGGTACACCTGTAACATCAAAAGTATTATAATTATGTATTCCTGTCATATCAGAAGCTTTAGAATTAGGTACATCTGTAACTTCAAAAAATTTAGAATCAGATACACCTGTAACAAAAGTATTATAAACAACTACACCTGTAACATTGATAGTATTAGAATCAAGTTCACCTGTAACATCAAAAGTTTTAGAATCAGGCACACCTGTAACATCAAAAGTATAAGAGTCATGTACACCAGTTACATCAAAAGTATTAGAGTCAGGTACACCTGTAATAGCAAAAGTATTAGAATCAGATACATCTGTAACATCAAAAATATTAGAATCAGGTTCACTTGTAACATTTAAAGCATTACAATCAGGTACACCTCATGCATCAAAGGTCTTTGAATCACTTAAATCTGTAACATCAAAAGTATTAAAATCAGGTACATCCTTTACATCAAAAGTTTAAGAATTAATTGCACCTCTAACATCAAAAGTATTTAAACAAAGATACACCTAAAATATCAAAAGCTGTAACATCAAATACACCTGTATTATCATAAGTATTACAATCAGGTACACATGTAACAAAAGTTTTAGAATCAGGTACGCCTGAAACATCAAAAGTTTTAGAGTCATGCACACCTGTAACCTAAAGAGTATGGGAATCAGGTACACCTTTATATCAAAAGTTTAAAACTCAGGTTCACCTTTAACACTAAACATATGAGTCATCTACACCTATAACATCAAAAGTATGGTAATCAAGCACATCTCTTACATCAGTAGTATTAGAATCAGGTACACATGTAAAACCACAGGTATTATAATCAGGTATATCTGTAATATCAAATATTTGTAGAATGAAGGACACCCGTAACATCAAAAGTTTTAGAATCATGTACAAAAGTTACTGTAAAACTAAAAGTATTATAATAATGTACGCCTGTCATATCAGAAGTGTTGAATCAGATACACCTGAAACATCAAAGGTATTTGAATCAGGTACACCTGTAACATCAAAAGTATTAGAGTCATGTACACTAAGGGCTTGTAACATCAAAAGTGTTAGAAGCAGGTACACCTGCAACATCAAAATAATTAGAAGCAGGTACACCTGCAACATCAAAAGTATTAGAATCAGGTACACCTGAAACATCAAAGGTATTTGAATCAGGTACACCTATAACATCAAAAGTATTAGAGTCAGGTACACCTGTAACATACAAACATTGAACATTAGTCCCGAAATTGAGAATCTTGTAACATCTAAAACAACAGTGAACACAGTCAGATAAACACTGCCAGACAGACAAGAAAGCCATACAATCATTCTACACACTAAATGCACTTGACATGTTGCTTATAGTATTTGAACTAGCATTCAGATGATATTGCCTATATATTCAATATAATGTCCCCTACTGGCTATAATATTAAAATTACATGGGACGTGCTTTAAATTTTAACTGATAACAAACTGCTCAACAAAAACAGAACTCAAACTCAAGCTTCAAACGTCAGTCAGGGGTGATACTTATACAGTGTTTTTGTATTTATTTGTACAGGCATGACAGGTGAATTATTTCTGAAGTAGAATTATTTCCATAAGCCATTCAAATTTGTTTTACTTATATAAGTCCAAAATTCATATTTTCTGCTGTTAACGAGTGTTTGTCATTAAAAGTTGTCTGTTCCATGGTTAGTATTCATAAAAATATAATGTCATGGACAATGAAAATATCATGTGTCTGTTATTTTCAAAACACTGCTCATTTACCAGCCTAAAGGGAGCATTTTTGAAGGATTTTCACAGTAACTTAACATGTATTTACAGTAGATTTCTTTGTTTATTTTTCATGTGTTTTTGGCAATAAAAGGTTAAGCTGTACTTTAAAAAAATCAAAAAACCAGGACAAAAAATTTTATAGGCATATTTTGAACTTCCAAAAACTTGAGAATTCAAGATGTTGTCAAAAATATTACTCATATAAGTAAAATTAAGGGGAGTTTATTCAAATCTTGTAATAAAAATTAAAATCTTACAAATGTACTTCTACAAGTAAATATTACTTACATCTTCAATTTAATTAACATGACTTGTATAAGTTTTACCATGATTTACTGTAGGAGTGTGCTTAACCAAGTTAAAAGTTCGAGTTTGATTTCGATTTATAGTTCCAGCTTGAGTTGAAGTTTAAGTTAAAGTTTCAACTTATACTTCAAACTCAAGCCAGAGTTTGAGTCAGAGTTAAAGTTGGGTTTGCTGTTAAACTTTGAGCTTAAGTCACATTTCGAGTTGGAGTTTGAATTAAACTTCAAGAAATATTTCGTATTTTAATAGATTTCAAAAGCAGATCCAGAAATTTTTTAAAGCTGTAATACTTCAGCCCATCAAATTTTTAGTAATAATTCAAGTTAGAAGACAAGTTAAATTTCGAGTTACAAATAATGTTTGAGGTACAAATGATATTTTAATGAAACTTTATCAAAATTAAAAGAAAAAAAGAATAAATAAGCAGCTGTGTCAAGGAGCACATGATACGCTCTTACTGTGCATATTATAATTGTTGCAAGAATAAAAAGGGATATTAAGAAGGCATTAAATCAGAAGCAAACATAATGGCTTCGTAGAAAAACATCCATATGGAAAATCTTAGGTGTATAAATATTGCATCAAATTTGACTGTTAAATGTCTAAATGCTCCGGAATGACAAACAAGGATATTTTAAAAATCAAAAGCTAGTCTACATTCACCAATCCTAACAACACTATTAAGTTCGTAGTAATTTTATCCAAACATACTGGAGCTAGTGCGTGACATTTAAAACTAGATGTTCTTTTTTAACCAATGATACTCCTAGAAATGTATAGGAGGTAAGATAAATATTGATATATATATCAGAAAACAATTTAATCGAATCTGTGTTATGTTCATCAACCCCAACAATGACCAACAATTATGTAAAGTTTCTAGTAAATCATTCCAAGCTAACTCAAGTTATTGTACGACAGATAAAAAATTTACTAAAATCTGACAATCAAAGTCCTGTTACTCTAAAACCACAAAACAGAAAATAAAAAATTGGAAAGGGAGCTTCCTTTTATCGATCCCAATAGTAATGTAAAGTTTTGAGGACATCAGTATAGTCATACTAGAGTTAGTGTGCGATATGTGAAAAAATTGCCATAAATCTAACAGCAAAGTACATCGTAAATAACTCTCTATTTTTATATACTAAGTTTTTGTCATTTGAAAACATTTGAGAACATTTGTGATGATTACAGATCTATATAGTGTTTGCTACATTTATTCCCAATTCTTTAGACACCTGGCAGTTTAGAAATATTGTAAAGACCTCGGTTTACTGATGAAGACCATAAGTTGAGCTCTTCGTGTTTGGAATTGTTATATTATTTAGTTGTTGTCTCACTGACATTACCTTCGTATACTAACATTTGAAGATTTAAAAGCATAAAGGAGTAATTTGATGCTCAAAATCTAGATTAATCCCCACCATATGTTATGTGTCTGTCCTATAGCCAGTAATCTTGCCAGTGGTTGTCTGTAATTGTATCATGTAAAGGCAATTTTTATCATCCCCCACTTTTTGAAGCAGGTGGTTCATGTCCGAATAAGGTTGTCGGTGCACTCGTACTTCAGTCCCACTTTTGTATCTGCCTCTGCTCCTGAGCCGTTTGACAAAATTTTGTAAAACATTCACAATATCTAACTCAAAGATTTACATTTGCACTTCCTAGTTCATATATTCTTTTGAATGAACTGAATAATGCGATATCCAGAGACTACAGTACATATTATCTCCTCTTCCTTTCTTAAACCCCTAATTAGAATTTCCCAGTGTATAAAACCCTTCATTTTGTATTGTTTTATCCACATTATCCAAGGGATTTCCCTTAGCAATTGATGAAATGTGCAAGGAGTTGTGGTAGCAGAGCTTACAATACCTCCAGTTTATCCTTGCAATGTAATATTAAAACATGAGTTATTGAATGTAAACTTAACCATATGCAAAATATGTTGTTCTATTTATTTCATAAATAATTATATTCTGTACAAACTAATAGAACAAATGATCCTGCATACTATTATTAGCCAACAACTTGATCATGTTGCTTAATCAATCTCGATGAAATTCACAAACTTAACAGTAGATATATTATAGATGAGTGGGGTAATCATTGGTTGAAAAAAGTAAACGCTGGTGTCCTAGCTTAATTTCTAAGCAAAACAGATAAGAGACAGTAAAGCGTTTTATTCAAAGTTGATGTGAATAATTCAAGCTCAAAAGATGCTCATATAAATCACTTTTTGGCCAGGAGTCCAGGCTACTTCAAGAATACTCAGAAGATAACTGCATTGTATTATAAGCTCGGCCGATGTAAAACGTAGATTCTACTGTCGCAAAAGAGTTATAGCGACGCCTAGTGGAGCTAGATAATCAGATATTTGAGATGGTAAAGTCAAGTTTTAATCTCCTTTCTGATGCCACGTATTAAAATAAATTCCATTTTAGTACATATTTTGGCTTTAAATGCCGTAAATGAAAAAGCCCGCGAAACTGTTACATCGTCTTTGCATCTAAACAATGTGACGTCATATGTATACTCCCTATGTCAAACATAAACACTAGACGTATTTGTACGTTTTGCACACTTTGAATGGTTTAAATATTGACAAAAAAGAAAATTTTGGGGCACAAAATGTGACTTTTTTGTTTATTTTTTTTTGGTAAATTACATATATAAAAAAAATCGACATTCAAAATGGTGGCTTTCCATAGTTACGAACTGGTAGAATGTGGAATCTAACACTTCAAAATATTTGTCAAGGTCCAATGGAAATTATCGTTCCAAACGAATTGCATTAGAAATGTATGTTAATGCGCTCAAAATTGCGATCAAACATACGTTGTATAGTCAACTTAAGATTATTATTTTTTTTAATTATTGCAGTTTTGAAGAACAACAATACGCTTCGATTACCTTCATTACCTGCAGTCTTATAAAACATACCTTTTATTGGAAACAAAAGATTCCACTGAGCCTGGTTCAAAACTCTCTGACGTTTCAAGCCAGAAAGAGTATTTTTTTTTGTATTCAGCATTGAATGTAGATCTTTAGGTGGAAATTCTTTGTTAAAATATAAACGAACTGCTCTAGGTGACACTCCTTTCAACAACAAAGCTAATCGTACATAATTCTCTTCTTCTTTCAAAAGGGGTGCCATCATTTTAAAATTCGTTCAGTATACAATTTAAACCTAGTACATGCTTTATTTTTGGTCCATGCATTCTGAAAAATAAAAGTTTTTTCTAGACATAATATTCTTAAATAACAAAGCCTTGCATTGAAAGTACAAAAAGCTATATTTCCTTATTTTACGTCGGCTCACGGACTTAATATCAAATTAATCGATACATATTTCGGATTTTTTGTTTCCACTAAAAGTTACTGAATGCATATGCATTTATATAAAACCTGACATCAGCTTAAAAAACAATCGTTCTAACAGACAACCTAGCACAAAAATATACCGAAGCCAAACACGTGTTCCGATAACATTAACAATATATATTTCCTATCAAAAAAGTATTTTCAAAAAATTATTGTGAGGTCAATTCAGGGAAGATATTTATCAACTTTGTACCAATTAAGGCAGAATTGTCATAGGTATATTTTTTTATATTGGTTATATTGTTTAAAAACATGCTTCCATTTTCTAATGTATGAAACACAAGTACATGTACTATACTTTTTCCGGACATTTTCAATATATTTTCAACCAAATCGAATTGTGAAAATAATTATACACGATAACATCAGGATAAAACAAAAATTGCAGATAAAACATAAGCCTAATAAACAAACATGTTTTAAACAATTCTTTTTTTTTTTTAAATCATACATTGTTAAATTTCAAACATAGATTGCTTTCAAAATATTTGTTGTTTTGTTTAAATGCATTATCATTTGAGAGATATCGCAAAAGATTGTAGATGACCAATACAGTATCGATAAATGATATACATAGCTGTTGTACTTTCTGATATGCATAGAAAATTAAATAAGCGAGAATCTGAGATACGAAAGTAAAGAATACATGTACCTATGGAATTTGATTTTAAAGTTCCTAACTAGTAAGAACAGAATGGCCCACAACTGGCACATGGCACAGATATGTTAAAATTGACGCGAAGCTAAGTTTACCGTGTGAAACATCCAGAAAACGTCGCGAAGTATTTTGGCCCAGCAGTTTCAAAAAAGAAATTTTTAAAAACATTTACGACGACGGACCATAGTCCTATGGCGATGGACACAAAGTGATTGCAAATGCTCATATGTTCTTTCACCTGAGGCGGATCCAGGGGTGGTCAAACGTTGGCGTGACCCCCCTGGGATTAGAAAAATTGTTGACCATGTAAAACATCAGTGCACCTTTTAATGTAAAATTTTGATTAATTTATCAATTTGTCTATCACTGGTAATTAAGTCATTACTCACCTTTAGACGAAATACATGTACCTTGATATGTATGTTTATGCAAAGAATATGTAATCAGCGATCGCTAATTACTCAGTCTTCGATTTCTTTGATCTTAAATGCTTTCAGTAGGATTGGTAATGAATATTTTAATATTAAATTACGTTTATCTAAATTTTAAAAGCTTTTTAAGGCAACCTTTCTCGATCATTAATGGTAATCTACTGTAATGCCAAAATTCAAATATTGTAAATATAAAATTTCGTAGCAGGCGAGACAAAACCCAACAAGAATCTCCAATCGCACAGGACATCATACATATCTATTACAGCCAAGAAGGAAAACATGTAGCTTCCGGATATCGTCACATCAGTCATAAGATATATTTAGATTTCAGGTTTCCAACACCACATGCACCATAAACTAAACAATTGAACACATTTTCAACCATTTTTTTATCATGTGCAGTTTATCCAAATTTTTTAAATAATGATATAGACTTGAGAGGGGGCACTTACTATGTAGGAATGATCCGCCACAATATGTGGCTAATTGTTGCTTGGTAACATATGAGAGATGTACGGGTGTTATGCAGAATATAGGGTCTTGAGGGTAAAACAAAGGAGGAATAGAGAAAAAATAGGTAAAAAAAGAGAGTGGGGTAATGGAGATATCAGCTGCTCAACTCTACCTTTGAAATATCCTAGACCAAGTCCCTCTTTTTCTATATCGTGTATTTATAATTACCTGACTTACAGTTGCCTTATACTTTGTGTGCTTTTTTAATTCATTTTTTTCCCTTGATTTATTTATAGATCCTTTTCTTTCTTCATGATAATGATTTTATCTCCTTTGGACTCAAGGGTTGGCTAAAGCGGTTAATGCTAACTTTGGTAACACTGATAAGTCTAGGATGTCCATAAGTACGGTGCTGATGTCTAGCCACATTTATTTTATGGACGACAGTATGTCTAGGAATTTTTTGTTGGAATTCTGTACACCATTTTTTTCAATTTTACAGTATCTACTCTTTTCCATAGGTGTATGTTTCGTTTTTACTGTTTTACATTGGTTTTGCAGCTGCTGGTGATTCAACGTAGGCTGCGTCATGGTCTGTTGAACCTTGTACTAGGGTAAGGAAAGGCATGTATTGATGAGGCTTTGACGGTTTAAAAGGAACACATCTAGCGTATTGTCGAGATGGATGGGGAAATGTGACAGTTATTGATCATTATATACTACATTTGACAGAAGAAATCGGTCAATCCCCTCCCCCCTTTTCCAAGGTGATTAAGAAAGAAGACAGCTGGCCTGTGAAGTCTGTGAAATCGAAAGTAAAGTTACTTTATAAATAAGCCTTGCCTTTGTTTCAATCTTTTTTAAGATAAAACTTAAAACTTACCGCTGCTGCTGTAAGTCTTTACTGTGACTGGATAAACTTTGTTTTAAATCAAACGGATTGACTGTTGACAATCAAATTATATTTCCAATATTCCTGCGCCCTCTAGCGGCCTACTTCAACCTTCATGACAACGGGGTGTTTAAATACCTTGACTACCTGTAACGTTTCGGGATGTGTAAATCCCCAGGTCTATCTTTAGTTATTATATTTAACCTCGGTGTTGTCCTAGGTTTTTTGGCGGGAATAGTTTTTCTCGTGTGATAGAGACTCGATATCCAGAATTCGATATCTAAACATCATCCAGACAATATTTCATAAGATTTTAATTTTAATGTAATTTTATGCATTTTCAAAGTTTAATTTAGAGTTACTAATTATTTCTTTACAATTGATATATGTTTCGGTTTTTCAGTCAAACATTTCTAATTCATAGTTTCCTTACAAAAAAGAACGTAGTATCTTTAATAAAGATATCCGAGATCTTCTGGTGTGAGCCTTTTTTTTTAATACATCAATTATTTTGATATCTTTTGCATCATTATCTAAATGCCATAACACTATGGCGTTGAAAGTCTGGCAATACTGAACGAATCTAGTGTATTGTCGAGACGGCTGGTTGAAATGTGACAGTTGTTGATCATTATATACTATATGGAGACAGAAGATTTCAGTCTAAACCCTCCCCGCCCCCGTTGTCCAGGAGATAAAGGAAGGGGGTGGAAATATATGTTAAGGTTTGTATATTTCTTAATATTCAACTTGTTCAAAACATATGAAATGAGTTGGTTAATGGAGATATCAGCTGCTCAACTCTACCTTTGAAATGTCCTAGACCGAATTCCTCTTTTTCTATATCATATATTTATAATTACCTGATTTTCAGTTGACTATACTTTGTTTGCTTTTTTAATTTTTTTTTTTTTTTTGTCCCTTAATTTATTTATAGATCCCTTTCTTTCGTCATGATAGTGATTTATCTCTAATGTACTCAAGGGTTGGTTAAGCGGTTAATGTTAACTTTGGTAGCACTGATGAGTCTAGGATTTCAGTAAGAGCGGTACATTTCTTTTTATAGACGACAGTATAGTCTAGGAATTTTTGTTGGAACTCTGTACACCATTTTTTCCATTTTTCATTATCTGCTCTTTTCCATAGGTGTATTTTTCGTTTTACTGTTTTCCATTGGTTTGCAGCAGCTTGTGATTCAACGTAGACTGTATCATGGTCTGATAAACTTTGTACTCGGGTAAGGAAAGGCAAGTATTGATGGGGCTTTGACGGTTTGAAAGGAACACATCTAGTGTATTGTCGAGATGGATGGGGAAATGTGACAGTTGTTGATCATTATATACTATATTAAGACAGAAGAACTTTGTTTTAAATCAAACGGATTGGCTGTTGACAATCAAATTATATCTCTAATATTCATGTGCCCTCTAGCGGCCTACTTCAACCTTCATGACAACGGGGTGTTTAAATGCCTTGACTACCTGTAAAGTATTGGGATGTGTAAATCCCCTGGTCTAGTTTTAGTTATTACATTGTATCGCTGTTGTCCTAAGTTTTTTTTGCGGGAATAGTTTCTCTCGTGTGATAAAGGCTCGATGTCCAGAATTCGATATCTAAACATCATCCAGACGATATTTCTTTAGATTGTGGGTAATTACGTACTGTAATGATATTTTATTCAATTGCAATGTTTGATTTAGAGTTACTTGTGTTTTCTTTACAATTGATATATGTTTCGGTTTTTAAGTCAAACATTTCTAAATTCATAATTTCCTGACAAAATAGAACGTAGTATCTTTAAAAAAGATATCCGAGTCCTTCTGGTGTTAGCCTGTTTTCAATACCTCAACCCTTTTAGTATCTTTTTGGTCATTATTAAGATGCCATTACTTTGACGTTGAAAGTCTGACAATTCTGAAAATTGAGCAAATGCACTTGCCTCTCACAAATATATTCTATATACCGCTAATTAAATTTTAAAGGTATTTAGAGTATTTTCTCAGAGACAAGTGCCTGTGATACTAAACTAAAATAAAATTTTATACAATGTAACACATAACTACTTGAACAAAAAAAAACGGTTTAAGAACATGAAAGATATATCAATTATAACTATACAAGCAGGAATTAAACTGTATGAGACGCAAACCCTTTCGGTGCGTATAACAGACGGACGCCGAAATGAGATAATCTATAAAATAGAGATAACAATGTGTGGTATGAGTGCCAATGAGACAACTCTCCATCCAAGTCACAATGCGTAAAAATTAAACCATTATAGGTCAAAGTACGGCCTTCAACATGGAGCCTTGGCTAACACCAAACAGCAAGCTATTAAGGGTCACACAATGACTAGTGTAAAACAATTCAAGCAGGAAAACAAACATTCTAATCTATAAAAAAGAGGAACGAGAAACACTTATGGACCAGATCAACAAACGACAACCACTGAACAACAGATTCCTGACTTAGGACAGGTGCACACAAATGCAGCGGGTTTAAATGTTTTAACAGGCGCCAACCTTCACCCTAACCTGAAACAGTAGTATAACATTACAACATAGAAAGACACACTATAAAAGATCAATTGAAATGGCTTAACTCGATCAGAAAGAAATATTAACAAAAACAAGTAAACACACATTGAACGAATGTAAAATATAAGGGCATACACCACAAGCACGGGGACACATTATACTGCATCCACACAGCACATCTTTTGATGAGTAATTGAATTTCCTACATATATCTTGACACTCCTTATTTAAGTATTACAAAATGTAATCATAAATATTCATATATCAAATCTTAATTATGTCTTTAATTTGGACTGCACATGTGTGTACATGATCCGGACTATATATAGAGTATTTTGATCATACGCGTATGGTCATGACTATATTCGTATACTCATATGGTCCGATACGCGTATGGTCGGCCCATACGAGTATATACTTAAATTCCTCTCTAGGAGTCAGTTCGGGGTATTTGTTTAGGAATTTTTGTTGGAATTCTTTACATTCTTTTTTTTAATTATCATAAGTTTTTCTTTTCCGTAGGACTGCGTCACTCTTTGATAACCCTGATAACAGGGTAAGGAAAGGCATGTGGTGATGAAGATTAAACGGTTTGCAAGGAACAAGTCTAGTGTAATGTCGAGATGGATGGGGAAAGGAAATGTGATAGTTGTTGATCATCATATACTGTATGGAAACTTTGATCTACCGCAAATACTCCCCCCCCCCTTTCCCATTTCCATGAAATAAAGAAAGACTATATATCTGACATTTTGATATTGGTGTATGAAAATAGGCCTAGTCATCTGTTTTAATCTTATTAAAATGAAATTGTACTTTAACCACTGCTGCTGTTACGGAGACGATTTGAATTGATCAGTGGAATAAACGTTCATATATCCATAACATATAACTAACTCGAATGTTTGCTAATAACTACGTTTTAATCGAATATTTACAATATTTACAATCATTTTGTATTACAATTTCACAACATTGTTTTCGATGTTAACTTATCGCATAATAAAGACGAACTGTTTACGTCTGCAACATTAGACATAAAATTTCACACTAATTTAACCTGATTCCAAGAGATTATCAAAACAAATTAATTAAATACCACAGCTGCATTGCAGACGACTATAATTTGAACTCTGAATGACTAGACTGACCCGCTGAAGGTGTCATAAAATTTAGGAATCCCGTTAAGATTAACGATTAACTTTCTACACTGTATTAACCCATTTCTCTGACGTCAATCTATTGTTCTTACAGTAGATTATTTTTCAAGAATCCACTGACCACTTCGTTGACTTAAGATAACTTATTTTATAACATTAAACTTTTAACTTACGATTTTTTATCCTCTCAAAAACGAGTGGCTTATGAAGGGTTCGAACTCGCGCGTATTTTCTTCATTTTTCTATGCATGATACTACTATACCACGAGTGCTGACATAAATCAATATTTAAATAACACTCTTAAAGCGCTCAACTGCCAATACATGTCAATAAACTGTATTTCTATCTCAGAGATAATTCGCTTTTGTTATCTAATAAAATATATATACTATGTCTGGATTTGTTCATGTTCTTTTCAAATTCATTTAAATTATTTTATTTTGGGCGTATTTTTTAAGGAAGATTATGTTCTACATTTGAACGTTCTTGAGTATAGTTATATAGCAGTATGGAAATATCTTAAAAAAGAGTTTTTTCACGATGTCAGGTTTGAACATTGGTCGATTTTCAACATCGTTATAATGAACCGATGGGTCTTTATACGATTGTGGCTATTAACACTAGTTCTAAACACTAGAGAATCAAGGAATTGTATATATTAGTACAATTCCTTGATAAAATAAACATCCATATGCCCATTACACTTGTCACTTTTAACGTACAAGGACTTTTCCTTTTCGTCATAGCAAATGCTTACTTATGGTTTTAGTCTTATAATGATATCGTACTATCAATAATTTTTTCTTTGTTTGATTTTAAATGGTCCAAATATACATAACATGAACATTGAACGGACTCTAATTTGAATAAAGTGTGATATATAAGCTACGACCGTAAAAGTACTTCTTTGACAGTAAAACCAGAAACAAATCATCGCCTTTAAACGAAAATGCAGTATATAATACCTCTAAAATTAAAACAATATTTTTGTCGAGAAAAAAAATTACAATGAAAAAATTTCAATTCGGGTACAAGGTTTGAACTTGGCACTGTTAATATCACAGTTATGTCTTTCGGTACCAACGACTAGACGATCACGGCTATGAACAGCTTGAATGTAAAAGTATAAAATTGACATAATTATACATTGTACATCTGTAGCAAGAGCAATTCTGCTGGAGATTCAGAATGCGTACCACAGATAATACTAGTGTACTGACTGGTTTACGATGGATGCCAAATGTAATAACGTTAAAATAATCTAAACTTAATGAAAGGGAAACAGTTTAAAAAAATTCATGTATAATTGTTCAAAAAATATCTTAAGCAATTATTTTATTTATTTCGGAAAGAATAATTAACTGGAGCATCATGAAATTGTTGTATTATGGCAACTACGCTAAATA